ATTCTTGAAGTACTACTTAGAACCTGTCAAAATACCTCCAATAAATATAAGTAAAACTTCGGGTACGCTAAGAAATTTCAATACATTTATATTAGAAATGAAGCAAATAATAAAAAATAAATTTATTACTAAATTTAAAAAGGACTATGTGTCTCGTTCTTTCAAACGATTGAAGACTACAGAAAATACCAAATGTGTGATCGTAAAACTTTTTTAAACATTTTAACTATATAGTTCTTCCTTCCTGATGGTCGCCGATATACATAAGTCTCACCAACTGTGGTTTACCTGTAATTACATTTAAACAGCTCGTGATATCGAAAAATGTTCTCCTTAATACGACTCGAGGCAAGTAGTAGATGTAGGACTACGAGAAATGTACGTCAGTAAAATTTATGTCAGTGAAATTTTATATCACGTGAAAGAAACATACTTTTAGCCCAATATTACTTTTAAATGTTTAATAAATTATATATCATTGAATTTTCTTTTAATGTTATATCTACTGACGTAAAATAATAAATTCCTATTACAAATTAAAGATGATTCCAATTCTGCAAAAATATTCTTTTACAAACGATATGTCTACAGCATAATTTCCTCACTATTTAGAACGGTTGGGTTCTGATGAATCGGTACTCTTAAGCGTTTAAAAATAATTAGGAAATTGGGAGTGATCCATAGTTGAAGAAACTTCCTTTGCTTTGCCCTATTAGCCATTAAGAACAATATCTGTGACATAAAACCCTTTGTGTACATGTACATAAAAGATTTCCTTTTGTGAATAAGCAACCAACACGTCACAATAATAAAGAAAATGCCGAAGTAAATGAAGCAAAATAAACTTGAATCGGCACATCAACAAATGTATTATATCTATTGTGTATTTAAACATTAGATTGCAGTACGGAGCCTTATGGGTTATTGCCCTTTCTTTCTATCCAATATAATTACTGTACAATATTTCAGTAAAGCTCTTGACTGTGCGGACGTGAAGATATGTGATTTTGCCATTCCGGCACTGTCGTCTAAACTACTTCCCGTGCGCCGATCGAGACGTATGAGGTGTCATTCGACACGTCTCGGTCTCCTGATGGGGAACTGATAATGTGTTCCTGGATCTCGCCAGAATATTTAAAGATATTTACAAAAACGTGTATTTTAGTGTTTTGTCGCTGCAATCGTAATGATAATTCTAGGAATTAAACCAACGCCTCTTAAATTGATCTGTGTAGGTGGCGTTGATTAAATACCAGAAACCAAAGATATTTTTTGCATATTACACCATCATTTTCTTTTACGATGATGGCAACATTGATGTTGACATCTTTAAGTGAACAATTGAATTACCAAGTAAATTGCTCTGCAGTTTGATATCTATTTTAAGTCGAATTATTGTCGAAAAATAAATTTGAGAATACCTACGAACAGTATTGCCTCGGAACTTATTGAACTTTAATTTCAAGTGAATATAGAGAAAACAAAACTGTGAGTAATTCTAGAGAACGAATGTATGTTACGTTCGACTTCGCTCATTTATATTCGCGTTCTTACGTAATATCGTTTTCAAATGAATATTTTATTCAAATGAACTAACGTTTTATTCACATAAACAAAACAGTCACCTTGTAATGTTAGATTCGCATGCAGCGCTAGAATCGAATACAAAGCGATTAATAGAACAGTTGCAGAAGTAGAAGTTAACACAAATTGGACTCATTTGATTAAGTTTTAATCTCTTCAAAAATAATGGGACAAAAATATGGAAGTTTCAAGGAATTCCAAGGAAGAATCAAATGTAGTTGTAAAAGATGTTGCGTTAGAATTTTCGGAACTAACATGGAATAATCTGTATATTTTAATTTAGCATTTGTTTTATTGCAAATGTGCTACGAGAATGTTTGTGCATATTACCAAAAAAGCGTAAAATATAGCTGAGTAGTATTAAAATGTAACTATTAGCATCAAAACCTGCAAATATTTGTTACGGCCATTTTAATTTTGAAATTGCAATACGTTCATATCCCGTATGGAGGTAACACATTGGGTGCTGGTAACTTTTGAACGGGAATATAAAACTATCAGGTACTACGATTCATTGGTAAGTCCAATGCCAGATACTGAGAGAACCGAGAACTAGAATATACTACAGGATATAGTACTAGGATATACTATAGTATATTCTATCTCGATGAAAAGAAAATTTTTAAACGAAGATGGGCATGAAAGAAATGCAGTATGAAAGTAAATTTCAACACATTAAACTATTTTTAAATCAATTCCCAGCGTTGGCGACGCCACTTTTCACTAGTTGTACATAGGTCTCTCTTTCTACCACAAGCTGGGTTGCCAATTCATGAGGCTCGGGTTATTCGGCTCGTCCATCCTGTTCCACGCGCCAATATTCAACATGTTTACTCAACGATAGTTTCAGTTGTATTGATTTTAGAAAATTGATTTTTTTACCAGAGTTATTATCATAACTCTTAAAGATGTGATGGGTGTTATGTAATTGAGTTTGATGGTTTAATTTCGAAGAAATTAAGTATAAGTGATAGTGTTTCCTTTTACATTTTGAATTTTCACTACGCGAGAACCTTTTTATTAATGAAGAAAAGCACAAATATTCAGAGGTTGAAATGACACAGGAAGTCCAAATTTAGATATGAGACCAACCACATTTCTATATGAATCAGTTCTTGATTTGAGCGGTAATAAAAACAATATTTAGTGCGCTCGGAACGAACGTCTCTTGTGGTTCAGTGATCTTCAATACTTCTCAGCGATTCTCAACTGGCGGAGGAAAAATACAGTGTTTACTTTTGAATTTCCTTCTTGAAGGCGCTGAAATGCGTACTATAAACATATCTAAAAATAAATTAGAAATTACAGTTAACAATATGATTCACGCCAAAGTCATTCAACCAGTAATTCTATCTTAAAATGCGCTTTCAAATGAAAAGATGTGGGGAATTTTTAGCTGGATGTTCGAAAAGAATCTTATGCGTTGTCCATATTAGAGCCTTGCAATCCTGATACCATTCATGTCATCTCAACTTTGTGAATGAGCATTTTCCCTTTACTTTACATAAAAAAATTGGACGTGTAAAATTATTTAAGATTGAAAATTAGCAATATTGATCTTGATATCGATGTAATTCGCGTAAAACAACAATTCAAGTCTCGTTAGACTTTGTTTTCTTTATGATATTCCAATTTTAATTATTATTTAAAGTTTTTTTGTCAATTATAATTAAATAAATCTCTTTTTTAAAAACATTTAATTTCTCATATATTAAGTCGTCTATTTAAAACGTTTTGAAGTGATTTTCGTTCAAGTGGCGTGCTAATTTTCTCCAGGCTGGTAGGTGATACGTAAGATCTGAAGAAATGTTGAGACTCCCTGCCGAAATCCCTTCTTGCTTATTAATACAAAAGTAGGAAAATAACTTTGTCCTCCGTTACCTTAACACTCACAGACCGGTGACACCCTGAGATGTCGATGTGAGTTGTACGTAGGAAGAAAGCTCCCCTTTCGCGGGACATCCGGTGCTGGAAGCGAGTGCAACAAACATTCTCAACATTTCGCCAGTTGATAGAACACTGTGCAAAACACTCATACTATTCAAATTTGGAAGTGTTAAGGAGTATTAGAAATGGTGAAATCGTCTGATGTCACATTTCTAGTTCATTTCTAGTTCTTTCACGACTGATGGCAAAAGTCTTCCGTTAGTTTCAAGGGCACAGTAACATGCATTCTAATAATTCTAACGTCAGTTGTAAGGATATCGTAAACCAATGCTAGTTTTAAGAAAAGAAAAAAATAAACCGACATACGGTTCAATTGATGACATTGTTACTGTGTACGTTTTGACACTTATTAGAACCCGTTATTCTGAAAAGTTTGTTTCTAAGCAATTGTGAAATTAAAGCTTATTAATTTTTCCCACAAGGTGATAGCTTTTTCAGTGACTCATATCTTTATTCACGCATGTTTGACCTCGTCTTTCCGAACCTGCCATGTAAACAGCCGTTTTAAGCATGCATGCCTGTATGCCCTCCGAAGCAATTGGGACCCTGACGACAGATAGCGGCGGCGCGTGTTTTTTTCCTCGCTTCCACTGAAGGCCGCAGATCACGAAAGCTCTGAATACTACTTAGCGCAAAATCACTATATGTAATGCTTCGAAGCACATAATATTTGTGGTTTTTGAAAGGTGCTGAAGGAGCTGGCAAAACACAGTATCCAGCTCGGCGAGTGTTGCGTGTAAACATGCCTGAGAACTGGTAAAGCTGTTCTCCATAAGCGCAGTACTGCATTCAAATGCTTGGACGCACTATAGTTAATGCCAGTGACTAGGCATATTTTGATAAGGAATTTACACCTCCAAATTTAAATGTCTTCTAAAGCAATAGAAAGGGTTCTGTCAATAGATTATTCTAAAGAGAATAGATTTTCAAAAACCCCTTTTATTTTTCTCTTAACCTTTATCAGAAGATTTTTCAGTCCCTTTTAAAGAAACATATTACGACTAGAAGCTGTAAATCATTAAATCTCTTGGAAAATGAATTATATACTGAAATAGGCAGAAGGTATAATTATTTAAAACATATCGGCTACCTTTGAAATTGTTACAAACTCTTACTTTACACCCCCTTATTTAAACAACACATACTTCTGCTATTAAATCAATTACATTACTAGCTGGCCAAGATTAGATCAAGGAAATATTGACAGACTTTAATAGCGACCACATTATAAATATTTCAAGATTGTTTCCAGATGTGACGTGCTCAGTATAATAATTTTCTGAAACGTGACATGATTAACATTGCTATGAATCTTTTTTCATTTACAAATCACATTACGGAGCGATCCCAGTTCTCGCCACATATTTTTTTCGATGTCATTAGGCATAAATGAATAGTTATTAAAAAATTCGTAACAATCAATTATTTAAAACCATTTATTACAAATAAATATAAACGTAAAAATAAATCCAAAATAAATAATACATATATCAAAAATAAATAAAGCTCCCCATCAAATTAAATAGAACTCTACAAAAGAGTATAATAAATAAAATACCAGAATATAATTGTAAAATAAATTTTAGAAATAATTTTAAAATAAAATTTTGTGAGTTATTCCCTTCCTCCACTCTCTGAAGATGCATTTGGTTTGAATTAGGAGATATAAAATTACTCTCCTTCATCACCATATTCTCCGTCATCTTCTCCTCCTGCTTCTTGGTACTGCTGATACTCCGAAATCAAATCGTTCAAGTTCGACTCAGCCTCCGTGAACTCCATCTCGTCCATGCCCTCACCCAAGTACCAGTGCAAGAAAGCTTTGCGACGGAACATGGAGGTGAAATGCTCCGTCATGCGCTTGAAAAGCTCCACAACAGCTGTCGTGTTACCCAGGAATGTAACGGACATCTTCAGACCTCGAGGCGGGATATCGCAGACGGCCGTTTTTATGTGGTCTGGAATCCACTCCACGAAATAGCTGCAATTTTTATTTTGCACGTTGAGCATCTGCTCGTCCACCTCCTTGACCGACATGCGGCCTCGGAACATGGCGGCCGCTGTGAGGTAGCGGCCGTGGCGCGGGTCGCACGCCGCCATCATATTCTTGGCGTCGAACATCTGCTGGGTGAGTTCTGGCACGGTGAGGCAGCGGTACTGCTGGCTTCCTCGCGATGTGAGCGGTGCGAAGCCGGGGACGAAGAAGTGGAGGCGAGGGAAGGGCACCATGTTGACTGCTAGTTTTCGTAAATCGGCATTGAGCTGGCCAGGGAAGCGAAGGCACGTGGTAACTCCCGACATGGTGACGGAGACCAAATGGTTGAGATCACCAAATGTCGGACACGTGAGCTTCAGTGTGCGGAAGCAGATGTCATACAACGCTTCGTTGTCGATACAGAAAGTAAGATCTGTGTTTTCCAGTAAGATGTGGACGGATAACACAGAATTATACGGCTCCACCACGGTGTCGGACACCTACAAGGAAATCGAAATAGTTGGCATTAGAAGTCGCATTTACGAAATAATGTTCAGAGAGATTAACGAAGGATGAGTTTCTTTAATATTTAAAAAATAAAACATTCACAAATGAAAGCGAATTCCCGTAAGATTGTGGGAAAATTACATTATTTATGATATTTTAGCTTGGATATTTAACTAATGGTTTCTTTGGCCTACTAAACTTAAGCCTAAAACTAAACTATTTCTGTACCTAATATTTTAACAATTTATTGATTTTATATACCTTCCCTTGCAGAATAACTTGGAAAGTTTCTACAATTTACTTGCAACCTACTTCTAGTTTGATGTCATTTTTTAGATTATTCTGAAGACAAAATATTTGTAATTTTGCCAAGAAATTTACACAAGGGAATCATAAACATAACCGCCATGTAGCTAAAACGCAGACTGGTGAACACTACCAATCGGTAGTGAAATGCGTATCTCATAATATTAATATTTTAGCTGAAAGACTTCATTACACTATGAATGTTTCGTTTTACTTGTAACGTACCAATGTAAACTGAGATAAAAATGTGTAATAGTCCTAATGTGGTATTGAGGTATTGAAATATTTTCAAGAAATTTTCATCGAAATATTATTTGTAAAACTACTCTTTGTTTCGAACTTTTGCTTCAATACCTCAATAAATATTGAAAACTTTCCTTGCAATTCAAAATTATGACGCAGTACAGTACTGCGTATCTGTAAGAATCCTATTAATATTTGTGCATCAGTATAAAAGTTCATTCAATGAATACGAATACGATGAGTACCTTTCCTGAAGGGAAGACGCTGAAGGTGGCGAGGATGCGGTCGGGGTACTCCTCCCGCAGCTTGGACATGAGCAGCGTGCCTAAGCCAGAGCCCGTGCCGCCTCCCAAGGAGTGAGCCAGCTGGAAGCCCTGCAGGCAGTCGCAGCCCTCCGCTTCCTTCCTGGCCACGTCCATGACGGAGTCCACCAGTTCGGCGCCTTCCGTGTAGTGGCCCTTGGCCCAGTTGTTGCCAGCGCCGGATTGCCCGAAGACGAAGTTGTCCGGGCGGAAAAGTTGTCCAAATGGACTGGCGCGGACGGCGTCCATTGTACCAGGCTCCAAATCGACGAGCACGGCACGTGGTACGTATTTCCCACCTTGTAACACGAATTGAAATAATTTATTTTAACTTGTTCATGTTCTATTAGTTTACTATAGATACTATTTACTAGATATTCTTGTTGACATCAACTACCATTGATACTTTTTAAAATATTTTAATTCAAATTTATTCTTTTGCGCTAAGGTTTTTTGTTGAATAAAGGAACTTTTTCAATGTTGATTTTTTATTGTAGTAATATGGTCAATTTTGTAGATAGAAGAATTTAAGATATGAAATTTTGGACATGGTTCGTGTGCATCACTTGGAGTTCAGGTAAATAACACTGATCTCCAAAAAAACTAGGGGCACTGACTTTTTCATATTAGTTTTCTTTTTTCTTCACTCTCGGCTAGTTGTTCGGACTTGCTACATACTCTTGCCAGTTGCCATCTATCGCCGCCCAAAGAATGTTTTATTATTTTTCAAATTTTCTTATATTTTCTGTTTCCTATAACTAGAAGGGAAATATTTTAAGAATAATAAAGAACAGAAAAATTCGTTCTATATGGCAATTTTCTTTGGAAAAATTAAAGCCATTTTAAGAAAATCGTTTATTAATCGTTGTTTTAATTGATGTATAAAATGGACTGAATAAATTCTTACTTGATTGTACCCAAGTTACGAAGAAAATTGGAATAATTATATTTACAACTATGAATTGATGACTGGACGTTGCCGAAAGGCACATGAATACATTTGTTGCTCCGGACATATTTTACTGAACATCGTAATATTCTGTGAACTAGGTCTCAACACAATGTTCACAATCATTCTCTATTCCTAAATGGTGTTCCAGTAAGTTAATACATTTCAGTTCACATATTAATAGGTGCTGCTATGTTAGGATTAAAACAATTTTTAATGCAATCATCAAATTGAGATCATATTATCCGAATTAAAAAATGTTTTATAGACTAAACATTGGAAAGTATAACAATACAATTTTTTCTTCTATTTTTTTTAGTAAAAAAATTATATAATCCAATTAGGTTGTTTACCTGTAGCCTCCACGTAATACACGTTTATTCTTTCAAGCTGCAAGTCGGAATCTCCATGATAACATCCAGTTGGGTCAATACCATGTTCATCGGATATCACTTCCCAAAACTGAAATTTCGTATGCAACTCAATGGCTGTTCATTATACTCACAATGTTTCTTTTTTACTAAAAAATGAATTTCAGTAAATGTAAATGCGCAAAAATTGTGTCTAATTTGTTTTCTTACCTTAGCTCCTACTTGATTGCCGCATTGACCAGCTTGGAGATGCACGATTTCACGCATATTGATTAATAAATTGGTTTTCTACTTCAAAAGGTATAGTTTATTCGAAAGGTATTCTTCTGTAAGATATGGTTTAAATAGGCGTAGTTCGTTTTTTTGCAATTACAGTAATTGCTACGAAACTTTTTTAATTTCGGTCCAAAAATAGCAAAACTATAAATTTGAAAGCATACGGTTACTAAATATCTGCTATTTGAATTTAATTTAACTAGTCATTTCGAGAAAATCACTAATTTCCACGACCCCTGTTTTGCTCCCCACCCACCCGAGAACGTAGTAATTTAAACAAATCCATGGAAACAAATTTAAGGCTTTTTTATTTCAGTGTTGTTTTGTTTCATTGTCATATTGTCAATGAATTACACACATCTAAAAATATAATAAGAAAACTTTCTTTTAATTTTGACAGTTATTCCGTGAACAACCGATCATATCCATAGAATTATAGTGATTTGTTATTTTTAGTATTTGGAAGTAATTAAAATTTGTCAAATGAGAAAGAAATGCTATAGTTACAGGTGAATTCCCATTGACAGAATATTTGATATATACGAAAGTATATAGAAACGTTTAATGCAAAACGAATACTCATGTCCTATATGTTGTACTTATAAATATATTTCCGAGCTTTGAAATTTTTTTACATCTTTTCAGTTCCCTAACAGTTCCAAAATAACAATAATACAATTTTAATAGTTTAATCAATTAATTTTTTACATTCTTTTCTGTTATAACTCTCATCTTAGTCTTTTCTTTTGTAGTACACTTAAAATTTATTTTTTCCAAGACACAGGGTGTTTTCCACGTTTTCTTTTTCCAAAAGGTTCCCAATAAAATACTAATTTAGGTGAACACCATTTCCATTCTTTTTAAATGTGCAAACCAGGTTAGTCGTTTTTTATTTATATAATTTATAATTGAGTGTGATATGTTCATATTTTTTATAATAATTTTATTTCGAATATTGCCTCTTCAGGAAATTGTTGTGAACCTTCTCCAGTAATCATTTGCGTTGCCAACAATTTTCCTTTTAACTGAGAATTTAAAGTCCAAACATCTGATCCATAGGTCAAAATACTTCTCATTATTCTTCTATATATTTTAATTTTGGTGTCTTTTTTATACCTTTATCCCATAAAATGCTATTTAAAATTGAAATCATCGTTTTTGCTAAATTTATTTTCATCCGAATTTCTTTAAATTGTTTTTCATCATTTGTAATCTTCATTTCTAAATACTATTATTCATTTGTGTGTACAATTTTACCCTTGTCTTCTTCTAAGACCAAATCATTCCTATTGTTTCCGAGCTACATTTTTGCAATAATTTCTTGTAAACAAAGTATGTGATCTATTGTAGATCTACTGCTCTAAATTCTGCCTGTTCTTTTGCATCAATAGAATCGTTTTCCAAAAAATACCCAATTATTTTTCCGTACTGATAAAAATGCTTGTGACAGAAATACCTCTGTAATTTTTACATTAACCTTTCATATGTATCACTGAAATATAACCTATCTTCCAATATTTTGACAGTTTCTCCGTTTAAACACTTTTGAAATAATTTTCGAAACAAGTCATAGAATTTATCAGTTCCATATTTCAATAATTCAGCTGAAATTTTACCTATATCAGACGTTCTTAAATTTTTAACGATTTAATTGGTTTCTTCACGATTTCGATATCTACATTAATGTAGTTATTCTCTATATTACGTATTATAATATTTCATGTGTTATGTAAATATTCTTCTCTGTTTTCTGATAATTATTCTTTAAAATACCTTGATCATATTTAAATATCAATGCAGTGAATGTGATTATTTTTCCTTGAATTTTTCCTAAATTTCTTAATAATTTTCCATTCTTCTGTATTTCTTCCTCGATTAAAATCCTCGATTTTCTATTTTTTGACACATTATATTCCAATTTAAATTTTTCCTAAATGCAACTTTCTTCATAACCTCAGCTTGTTGTGCTTTAAATTATATTTTATCTTGAATGTCTTGTGTACTTAACCATTTTAGATATTTCTCTTAAAACTTACCTTATTTTCTATCACTTCATTTCAAAAATAAAGTAATTTTGATTTTGGGGAATTATGACAAATTCCATCATGTAAACAACTGAATTATTGTTTTCTTTATTTATTTTTTACTGATTTATTGGTACTGATCGTCAGTGGAATTGTAGGTAATGCTCGATAGTTTTTCTTCCAAACGCTTTTTCTATAGAAATACTGTTCTTTTATCTTCAAGACCTTTTAAATTGTATTTTGAAATATTAATTTCGGTAATGGAACTTTCTTCATTTTTTATATTGTTCATCTATCGTATATTTTTTCTAATATTTAAAAAATGTAATTATATACTTTTGAATTATTAATTTTATTTTTATTTTATTTATTACAAATTAGATTACTTGATCCTATGTGGCTAGGCCGAAGGCCTTTAAGCCATTACAATACCTACATCCTTTCGCGTTCTAATCTTTTGAATTCTGGTATTCACCCCAAATGGTCTCTCCATCGCATCAAAGCCGCGGAAAAGAAACCATAAGGTACGGCTCAGGAAAAAAACCCTGAAGGAGGAAAAACCTGCCGTCAGAAGCCGAGTACATACTAATCTATCCGACGTTTATTTTAACTATTTATTTTCTGGCACGGGCGTCCCGCCGTCTCCTTACAGTGCATGGCCTCCTCAACACCTGAAGACCCGCCACCAACGCCTCTGCCCTTATATTTTCGATCCCCTCTTACCTTCCCTCCCCTAGTGTGCTTAATACTATGTCATTTTTATTTTATTTATTATATTGACTTATTTCTTACCAATTGACTACGACTTATGACTTATTTCTTAACTGTTTACTAGCTTAACATAAAATTACTGATTAACTTACATATTGTTAGCTTATTGACTTATTTATTTCTCTCCAGTCTAGGCTCCGCTCAAGCTAACCGGTGCTGTTTTCCAACTTCCTAATTTCAGTTTCCCTAATGGTCCGAACCTTTCCTAAAAATGTTCCTAATTCTTTCATAAATTTAGAACTTTTATCACCTAAAATGTTTTGGGCGAGCGTTACGTTCCTGTTTAGGAAGTAGTAATTTCCGATTCCCATCAATTTTCTTCTCCATGATTCGGTTGCACAGCAAATTAAGAGGATGTGGATCCAGTCTTCCCTATCACCGCAAAGCACACAGATGCCATTACCACTTGCGTCCTTTAGTCTACGCTATTTTTGAATTAACTACATAGTGATCACTACATGTCACTTCTCTGTATGATCTTCCATCATGGATATTTAATGATCTAGTGTCCTGTCAAATGATAATATAGTCTATGACGGACTTTCTATTTAAGGTGTACTGATGCCAAGTAAATGTATGGATTTCCTTGCGTTGGTAAAATCCATTTCAATTTTTTAAAGAAATGTTGTACTTTAAATTGACTATTCGCTCAAATTCTAGTTTTTTCATAGTTAGGGGATTCTCTCTGCGATTATTTTGACCACATTGCCTCTTTGTCGTCGAAACCTTTCTACGCGCGTCAGATTTCGCAGATAGTGCATCCGAGAGCGAGCGAGTTCGCGGTTAAATTGGACGAGTCGGGCGGGGCTTCGAGATCAAAGCGGCCCCCTCGCCCCGAAATTCATTAGCTTCTCGGCACATAAAGCCGCGGCGCGGCGGTCCCCGGGTGGATGTCGCCCTCCTCCACCCCCGACCTGGCGGAGGGCGCGATTTGCGAGGAGGGACACTCCGAAAAATACTGCTGTTTACACCAAATAAATACTCCCCCTCCCGTTCGTCCGACTACGGCAGTTTTATGCGAGGCGTATTTAAACCCTCAACCAATTTTACGCCACGTTTTGGTCTTAAAATTAGCTTTATAATGAAAGGCAAATATAACCATATGTTCTCTATTGCAAAACTAGAATATATTAACAGTTTTCTGGGATGTGATTAGGTGTTAATTACATTTATTCTAGTTGTTTGTAAAAAGAAAATTATTTACTGAATTAAAGACCGATAAATGTTTGATCTGTAATCTGATTGTGAATTGTGATAATTTAAAAGTAGAGACAACGTGTGTTGAAAAATACTTATAATATGCTGCGAAATATATGTAAAGAAAATATATTTTCTTTATTCTAAACATGACGTGATTCCCACCCTTGGCGCGTGGTTAAGAGTGGTTACGCGTAGTTGAAACTAAGGACCGCCAGAGGCCATGAGTGGAACGATTGTTGAAAAATATTGAAATTTAAGTTATTAAAGTAAGTGTAAACAGAGAAGCTGTTAGTCATCTTTAATTGTCGTTTCTCTGTTTACAGGTAAGTTTACAATTTATTTAGGTCAAATAGTCTTTGTTAATAATGTTAATGTTATAATATTATATTAAATAATGTTAATAGACTTTGTAAATGATTGTTCATAAAAAGGAATAAAACTCTGTTTACATGGAAACAAATTTAGCTTATCACTAACCCACATAAACAATTGTCTTATAAAACGACAATTTTTGATTATAATGCCGCGACGATTGCAATTCACATTCCAATATCAGCCGAAGGACAAGAAGACAAGTCTTCCTGTCATAACCTCAATTGTAACAGAGGATAACAAGCAATATGTGTTGCCACAGGAAATGAGGTTTGTAACTGAACATCCAGAACTGATGAAGACGGATGTTTTTAAAAGAGTGAAAAATAGTTTGACTCAACGAGGCCAAAATAGAACAGTATGGATCACTCTAACAAAAGAAATGGCACAAACATACATGGATGAAGAAGGTAATATAATGTTTAATGACTTGTATTTAGAAGAAATAATAAAAACAGATGTATTAGAATCCACCGATAAAAAGGATAGTCAACTTAATTTAAAACAAATAACAGATAATTTTATGATTGAAAAGTTAACATCTAAACACTAAAATGCAAACCAATGGCTAGATACATTTCAGAAAGAATGTAAACGATTTGACATCAATGAAGGTAGCACAATGATTGAGATTTTGAGACTATTCATGGAAAATTCTTGTTTAGATTGGTATTCAGCAACTCTCATAATATTGACAGTAGAAGCTGAATGGTCTCAATGGAA